TTAAGAGCATTATATTTTTAATTACACTATATTTTATTTTTCTATGTGTTACAGATATGCATAGAGAAGTAACTGAGTAAAATCTAACAGCCTGTGTTATAGGTGGTCAGAATAATCTAATAATCTGTCCTGGTCTTAAACTCTATGAATGAAATAAATTATACAGTGTAGCATAGAGGAGAAAATACGTTGTCCTTGTTTATTGGCATTATTGTATTATAATGCCCAGGACTCTGTAGGTAACAGATTATGACTCTCGCCTTCCTACAGAACCACTGTGTTCAGTGCATGGCCCTGATTCAGCAAGACATAATAGAGAAAGTCCATCCAGGGAGAACAGAGGTACTATCTACCTCCTGAGTAATCACAAGAGAGGGGAGTTGCCTCAGTTGAACAATGGTGGGCACAGGTGTATGAAATGCGGCTTCCAAAAGCAGAGGGAAGATTGCCCTCCAAAGCACTGGCCAGCCCAACTGAGCTGGGGCTATTTTGCAAAGTAATCTGCCACTGGTGTTATTAATTACAAAAGATTAATTAATCCTCTCAAAGTCTCTGTTCACTAGTCTGCTCCTGGATTAGCACTGTAGTTGGCACCCCTCTCTCAGAGCAGAATGTAAAGTTATTCCGTGTAGCACTGCAGGGTATTTTCTTCCTAACCTATACAGCCAGGGAGCATTTTTTTATAATTTGGAGAGCACAGTCATTGTACTTTAAAAAAAAATTCTCTAGGCTATATTTTTATTCAGTGAACAGAACAATGGGTGCTGACCCAATTAAAAAGGAGGGGGGAGAACAGATGAAAGAGAGAAAAAGCAGCTTCTAGCAAGGAGAGAAGGACAAGTACGAAAAAAGTAGACTATAATCGAAAACAAAAGACTAGCAGGATTTTGCAAGAAGTGAAGAATTACACATAGGATAAAAGTATCATGCAGTAACCATTGTTACCATTTAATTCAGGTAATCTTAAACTGAGGATGCCATTTTTTCTATCTCTGTATAGATATACACACCATCAGAGTTTAGCAATTTGTTAAACTAAGAGTATTTAACCAAAAGGTAGGTTTTTCCATACAGACACTTGGGAAGGGGAGGAAACAGCCCCTGGGAAATGGATTTCATGCATCTGGGCAACTAATCTTGAGGGGCTTAAGAGGGAGAAGAAAAAAAAATGGTTGGGATCAGTATCTAAGAAGGTCTTTACCGTGGCTGAATATAGAAACAGGCATTTGATCTCAAGGTCAGTCAATCATCAACCTGTGAATGGAAGTGAGATTAAAACACTGGCTCTCTGCCACAGGAATCTTAAAAGAGCACCACTTGTTTGCTTCTGTTATGCAAAAAAAAAAAAAAACAACATTCAAGTGATAAAAATACAGCGTTATATAGATATATACACCATCAAAAGTTAGCAATTTGTTAAGCCAAGAGCTAGGTTTTTCCATACAGACACTTGGGAAGGGGAGGAACTAGCCCCTGGCATCAATTTTTTGCTTTAAGGATCAGTGTTTCCCAGAGCCAGATCTTAAAGAAGGAAATAACATTGCCATCTTTAATGGCTTACCATTTTCTGGTATATTTCAGCAGAAAAACACCCCCCCAATCTCTCTCTTTATTCTGCTGTCCCCATGACACAGTACACATCTTCTTTAGGGGTGCATGGTATATAAGAACAGATGATATATATTCTAAGGCCATCACAGATCTTCAGAGCTTGGCATGGGCACTTTTTGGTTATGGATTTTACATGTATGTATATTTGAGCAACACCAGATGAGCTGCCAAAGGTAAAGGCATTCTGCTGCAGGATTTATGAGAACATTGCAGCTTAAGTATACCTGTAGTTTTAGAAGAGATGAGCATACCCTTGTGTGAGTCCTCCCCCAGACACACACCCACTGTGTATAAAGGCTTGTGTTTGTTAGTCATTCTGATCTTCACCAGTGAAAGTCAATTTATACAGTCTATTTTTGTACAGTTTAGAAGTTGTCAGCTTGCTTTGGATACATCTATCTACACTGCTTCTGTGGGGCTCCAGAAGCACAGCTGAAGAACATATACCAGGCATCAGTTCCCACTGAGCATGCCCCTACCCCAGAAGCCACCTTTTATATCCCTTCTTGTAACTCATTTTGACCTCTAACCTTTTCAAATGACACATTAACTCCAGAGGGAACAAGCCAGGTTGCACAGACAACCTTAACTCTGACGACAATCTAAACTTTGATATTTGAGAGCTTGATTTTGCTATTGTAATGCTCTCTTTTAATGTGTTTATAATATCACCAAGTTCTGCATCTGTCCATTCTAAAGTTATAGAGTATCAATAGGATTGTACTTGCTTTCAAAATGAGCCTTCTGCATACTTGAAAGCTGGAGCGGGCAGCTTGCTTAGGGTGGTTTCACTATCTCATTTCTTGGATTGGTGTGCATGGAGCAGGTGGATGGGACAAGTTCTCAGTAGTGCTTTTGGGAGTGCTATGAAGTTTTTAGACCTTACACACATAAAAATCTCTTAGGCTTTGTATTAATAGCAATAGGAGGTGTCTTTCTGGCTTGTGAGACAATAGCAGTGTGCCAAGTGAGACATCAGCTTGCTGAATGTAATCTTTGTTTGAAAGATAAAGTGAAGCTGGAGTGACCTCTCCAGGGCCCAAAAGCCTGGGCAGTGCATATGGAGACATTGAGATGGCTTTGTAGTTACCATAATAAATAATGGAAAACATTATCCAAGGTAAAATTGAAGAGTTTGAGCATGATTACTGAAAATACTATCATTTATTGCTTGCCCTCATGTGTACCCTTAATTTAAAAAAGAATTACTATAGCAATGTTTATTAAATTGCCATTGACTGTTGATTCTTTCTCCCTCTTAAACAGATGGTTATTCAGGTCCTCAGAGTATACCTCACAGAATTTTATCTTAAAAAGAAAATTAATGAAGAGTTATATCAGAAGATCCTTCTGAAGCAAGAAACTGTAAGTGATCCCATTATTAATATTTCAAACAGCAGAAAATAAAAGTGTATTCAAGCACTTAATGCCATGCTAGCAATAGCATGCTATACCAGCATCCTTTTATGTGACCATTTCATTTTTAGTGCGTTTCAAACTTTTCTCTTGGAGGGCGAGTGGGAGACAGGGGGTTCAGGAGCAGAGGAAAATGTTTGACAGTCTCCTTTGTCCACAGCAACATATTACTGAATGTTGTTTCAAACAGACTATAGCAAATAGATACATTGCTGCCCCTAGTGTGTTAGGAAGAAAGCCTCTCTCACAGTTTAGGCTTGTCAGAACTTCATCTATCCCACTCAAGAGAGTTAATGAACTCTAATTGAAAGTTCTGTATCTTGGTCCTCCTATCATTGTTGATAACATTGTAGAAGGTGCAGTACCGGAAGTAAGTTGGAGGTTTAAAAAAAAAATACACCAATTTCTTTTTCATTCTACAGATTCAATTTCTGTTTTAGAGTGCCTGTAGATATGCAGGGATGCTTCTCTGATGCATTGTAATTACAGAGCATCAGAGCAGACTCAATTAATCAAGTCTGCTGGAGTATGCTCCAGCAGCCTCTGCATCTCATGTATCCAGTGTCCTCACGTTTCAAAATGGCATCAAGGGCACTTTAACTAAAGTTCGTTGAACGAGCTTTAGTTAAAGCGCCCCTGCTGCCATTTTGAAGAGCAGGACGCTGAATAAATGAGACACTGCAGGCAGTTCAGTTAGGCTTGCTCTCAGAGTCATTCTAATTAAAGCATCCCCACCTCCGGAGCATGTGCAAAGACACCCTTGTAGTCTACATGCATTGCAAAAGGCGACTCTTGGTCACAAGCTGGGATCATGTTATTAACAAAAGTGAAAAATGGTGCTATAACATGAAAACTTTCGTAGAAATTACCACCCATCTTACATTTTTTTGTAATTAAGCAGTCTTTAAATTAAAATCTGTTATGCTACATCAGCTTATTTTGATCATGCAGTCTCACAGTCAGTGAATTTAACACTAGAAGCCTCAATAATATTATCTGATAACCTCTCTCTGGAGATATTTTTTTTTCTGAAAGAACACTTTGCTGCCTTTTCACCTTAAGTCAATGTTGATCATATTTACCAAATGAAAGAGATTCAATAAATAAATCCTTCTCAGCAGGAAGTGACCTCAAATAAATACAGATTTGTCAACTTCCAAAATACCCCTTACTATTTACTTAATGATATTTGAGAATACTGATCTGTTCACTCGTCTAACTGAACTAGTTCAAGATGTATCAAAGGCAAGGGTGCAGATGCATGACAGGCTTACATCAGTTTTGTTCATGAGACATGAATGACAATGGGACCACATCAGATGGACAACCAGATATCCCAGAGTAGGAGACTGGAAACTGATATTACAGTGCTTCAGCCATAGCTGACAGGGAAACTGGAAACAGCTTGAGCAAATGTCCCATATTAAGCTAGGCAGTTACATTGACTAGAACTGCAGACACACAACATGCACACCAGTGTAACTTATACTGTTGCATTGCCACTGCAGGTTGCTCACAGGACAATTTTACACTCAAGTAGAATGACTAACACTAGTATTTGGCTGCATGTGGGGTTGCCAACTCTATTTGAATGTATTCCGGGAGGTTTCCAGAATGCGAGCTTGCCTACAACAAGGCAAACTTGCCCACATGCTTGCATATATCAGTTAGGGATTACAGTGCATAGACTACATCAGGAAAGCAAATGCACATTACTCTTATATTTTAACAACCCACTGGACTACTGTATAAAATCAGATTCAACATTTAATATTTATTTTAATTAATGCCCTATCATTTATCTCCAGGGTGACTCTCAGCAGTCTCCTGGAGATTTATATCAAATTCCTAGAGAATCCTGGGCAATCCTGGAGGGTTGGCAACCCTAGCTGTATGTTACATCTCCATTTTACTTTAAACATGTGTGAAGATGGTATATACTAGTTTAAAGTATATTATATATGCAAACCCCAAATCTTGTTTTCTTCTGAGGCTCCTAGTGCAGGTCCCTAGAGGAAGGATTGTCCAGTGATGAGGGTGATGGCCTGGGCCATGGGAGATCAGGGCTTAATTTCCTCTGACAGACTTCCTGTGCGACTTTAGGCAACTAACTTTTTAGGTTCCCTGCTGCCCAGTAGAAGAGTCACAGCTGGAGGTTAAGCAACCTGGATTATGCACTTAAGGCTGGAATTTACAGAAGCCAGGAAACTAAAAAGGGGAAGCATCTAAGCTAGACTATGAAATGCTGAGTGGAAGGAAAGGGCCTCAGGTGCCCAACGCCACACAAGGGAGTGCCTCTCTTGGTTCAGGGTTCTCAGCCTTGAAGTCCTTCCTGAAGTTAAATGCTTTGAGAAACAAGAGACCTCTTCTTCTACTGCTACCTTGTTGCCATTATCGTTTGGGCTCTCACATGCCCAAGACCAGCTCCCCAAAATGGTCCATCTCATCCTGGCTATTTTATGTGAGACCTGATCTTTATATCATACCCTACAAATGCAATATGCGAATACCTGGTTTGAAAATCCTTCCAGGGCTTAGGCCCCTGGCAGCCATTTTAATTAAAGGCATGATGGAATCTCATCCACGAACCCAACAGTCATGCCTCCTATCATGTTACTCATTCATAGCAGAAGGCATGGTTGTGGGATTAGAGATCAGATCCCAATCACATCAACTGAGCAGCACTCCCAGGAAGTGCAGGGGGAGCCTGGGATCATTATCCTGGGCTCTCCCTGTGCCAGCAGGTAGCAACCCGGGTGCCCAGTGCACCTGGCTCAATCAGCTTTCCCAGCCTCGGGAGAGCATTGGAGTCCTTGCCTCCAAGCCATCTCTGATGTTGGGAGCTCTGATCAGCTCACAGGTGCTCCCAGCTTTGAGGGTGCACCAGAGCCAAGGCACCGATATGCTCCCAAAGCTGGGAGCACTGATCAGCCAATGGGTGTGCCCAGCCTTGGGCCAATAAATCCAGTAAGCCCCCAAAGCTGGTTGAATAGAGGGAAACTTACTTGGGCAACAAAGAGAATAATTTGTGATGCAGAGATATTACACAATCCGATATTGATGAGAGAGAGGACAAAACAACTCTCTATAAAACACAGTTTCAACCATAAATTCTGATTCTGTGAGAAAGTATACTGGAATTTTGCTGTCTGCTAACATGTGACTGCTCTCCTTTAAGGCATTATACACTAACAATTATTTGGCACACTATGAAAAGGAAAACTTAAAGCATAAAGGCAAGCTCAGGCACATTTAATTTGCATTTTAGTACTGACTTATTTAATGGGGATGGAAAAATGGTTTTTTCTCCCTAAATATGTGCCATTCCCCCCGCCACTGTTATTTCATTACTTTTTTAAAAAGCTTTTTGCTATAAAAGGCCTTTTAGCTAGCATTTAAGGGCTCACTTACAGTATTGCCAGGTGCATCTCTGTGTACAAAAACATAAAACGTACACAAAGGTAGCTTGTTTATCTGGCTACCTACAAGCACATTGTTACATATGTTTGCAGAATCCAGCTAAAGGTGAGGAACAAAAGTTACACTGCTTTTGAAAATCTGGTGTGCCGCTAGAAGGATTAGAAGTATGAAGACTCAGACCAATAACTGCTAACACTTGAAGTTAGTGAAGATAGACACCGGGCCCTTTCCTGATCTGAAAAGTGATATAAAATTGAGTTAAGTGGAAATATAAAAAGTGTAAGTGAAGATCTAAATAGTGTTACTTGAGTCTTGCTCATGATTTTTTTAAAACTCTCTGATAAGTTACTATGTCTAAATAGAGTGAGCCTGGGTGTTTATTGTAGGAAGTTTACTCTTGTCTGTATTTGGTCAAGTTAAAATTCTTTTCCTGTTTAACAAGTTACATATTTTTCCAGGATTTTGACGAACTGCAGAAACAACTTAACTCCAGGCTACAGAGCACCGAGGCCATGGGCACTCAGAATTCAGAATACCAGACCTTGGATGACTTGGAAAGGAAAGAGAGGGAATATTCTGAACATATAATAGATAATGTACCTATTATTTCATTTTTAATCTTATGTAAAGTTCCATGTTAGAATTGTTGGTAGGTATCGACAGTTTCTCTCATTGTCATCACGTGTCTTTGGTCAGTGTTTAAAACATTCACTGATCCTGAAAGCATGCATGCATACAATATGAAGTGTTTCTGACTCATTAGGAACCAGTATTTTTCTTTTCTGAATGCTGGACAGCATTTAGGGTCACCAAAGGCATATTATTTAAATCCTTTTATAGTCTGAGCCAGGGCTGTCCAACATTTAAGCTTTAAGAGCATTCAACATTTAAGGATCCCCACAGGCCACACCAGCAGGGGCCACATGCCACGCAGATCCCAACCCCTCCCCACACCACTGCATTGCATACCCATGCCCCCCTCACCACATGCTTGTACTCCCTCCACCTCCCACTGCACCATGCACCCATGTGGCCCCAGGCTCACCTTCTGCTTCCCACACTATGCACTGCAGTGCCCTGCCTGGTCCCCTGGTGTGCAGGAAGGGGAGACTCCAGGGATGGCAGGTCCAGTGAGATGGTCATAGGGGTGGAGAGTTAATAGCCCAGTAGGTTAAATCAGCACAGCCCAGGGGCTGTGGTAAGAAGCTAGGCTTTCCCAGCACTGGGGCACTGCAGTGAACACATGCAGGCATTCACTACACTGGGTTAACTTTTGCTAGACTGTGTTAATCCCAGACCTATGTAAACTTAGTCCACATCTGAGGTCAACTAACTTTAGATCAAGCGTGCCATTTTTAGGGCAACCCATGCCCCATGAACCCTTGTACTCTGAAGTATTTAGACAGCCCTAACTAATGTTAGGGCAATCTAAATATAATGCTTGTACATACCCCCAATCTTCAGCCTCTCTTGTAGAAAAAAGAACAGCCATTCTCAAAATGCTTGGTAGTTTGTGATATACCCCAATGAAACATGCAATTTTCTTTTTAATCTCTTTTTCCTTAACCATAGAGGTCCCATTTGGTATTTCTTTTGAGACCATTAAAAAAAAAAGCAAAAACAAAAAAACCCCACAACCTTGAGAATTTTATAGGGTTAGTCATGTATGACATTTAAGCCATGGGCAGACCTGTGTTAGAAGTGTTCCAAATTCCTCTCTAATTTGAAAGCATGTGGCCCCTCAGATGTGTCCTCCCAGAGTACTTCAAAACCACTGCGAGTGCTCCAGCTACAGAGCTGCAATAGGTCAGTTGCTTGGTCCTCTGGCATCCCCAGCTGCTCCATCCCCCATCTTCCCCAACCCTGCCCAGGGAAGAGGGGGAACAGGGAGCACAGCCACTAAGCACTCCATCTTTTGGGACCTCTGGAGGCCATGAATATACTATATTAATATAATAATTTACCTAGCATACTTGTTAGGCTAATAAGTTACAATCTTTTTTTCTTTTCTCAATTGTACTAGTAGAGCATTTAAATGTGTGTTTTTATTAACAAACTTCAAAATCTTGTATAAATTGATTTACTTCTATAAGAAGTGAGGGTTATCCAAGAGGTACAACACTGGGTGCATCCATATGCTTTTAACGCAATGCGATAAACTCTGGAGCAGTTTGCACTGGAGTTAACTGCTCCCAGGCACAGCATCTACTCATGTGCCCAGGACCATAGCAATTAGAGCTAAGGAAGAGCAACCCCAAGATGGCAAGGAACTTGGGGGGGTCAGCCCCAGGCAGCAACAGTGGGTGGTGGAGGGGCTGGCAGGAGCTGGGCATCTGGCCCCCAGCTGGCTGGGCTGACCGGATGCAATTTGCACCCAACAGTCAACTTCCATTCGAGTCTTTTATCACAGAGAATTACTCTGCCATAAAATAGTACTGTTGGGAAAAGTACTATCTTATGGCAGAGTTAATTTACTGCACCCCAATACTGGTGCATGTGTGGACAGTGATGCTTACTGCATACTAATTAGTCAATGCTACAGTAAAGTGCATGTGTAGATGCACCCACTGATATCTAATGTTAATGCGTAGGAGAAACACTGTACTGGTAACTATGAGAATCTCTGTAGACAGTTTTCCAGAGACTGATTCTAACATTGTCCATTGCAATCCAGCAATTTACCTTGGTAGAGCAGCTCTCTCACACATAGTACCAATTACATCATCTTTTTCTCTTTAAAAAAATATGTTGTGGTTTATTTCTTATTTTGTAGATGGAGGCTTTCTGGAAACAGACTGACAAAGCCCAGCAGTTTGTCTTGGACCAAGCAAAATGTTCAAGTGCTAAAGCACGAAAGATAATCATGAATCTGACTGACAAAATGATTGTAGTGGAAGAGTTATTAAGTGAATCTCAGGATTTGCAGTCAATGGTAAAGCAGACAATTTACCAACTTACCAATTTACCAACTTGCTTCTCTTTATTTTAGCATTATTGTGTTAGAACTAGGTTTTTTGGTGGTAGGAACTTCTGTAAGAAGTCCTAAATAGAATGAACTTGGTGCTTTAATTCTGGTTCTGAAAATGCAGCTATATCATTAGGTTGGAACTAGTTATATGAATACTTTTAACATAGGCAATGAGCAAGCAGCAAGAGCACTAAATTATATGGAGAAGAAAAATATTAAACCAAGCATTGGGACATTTTCTCCAATATATTTGTTGCAATGCACATGGATGTGATGACCATAATTCAAATTAAAAATGGTTCTGAGTCTTCCCAGGAGTTGAAGATATTTACCTCTGGCCTCAAGAGGGAAAAATAGCATATTTGCAAGTATTTTAGTGTTAATGCCTAATACTGTGTGCTTTTTCAATTAAGTCGGTCATTAACCCAGACTCATCTCCCCAGTATACACAATCTAGCTCACTACATTTACTATGCTTTGGAGGAACAGTGAAAATCTGAAGTGTAACCTTATCTTAGAAAGGGAGGAAAGTAGATCCAGCTAACTATAGTCCCATTAACCTGACTTCTATCCTGGGGAAGATCTTAGAAAAGTTTATAAAAGAGGCCATCCTTAATGGACGGGCTGACACCAGCACGGATATGTTGCAGGTAGGTCTTGTTTGGCCAATCTCATTTCCTTCTACGACCAGGTGACCTATCACCTGGACAGGGGAGAAGAGATTGATGTCATACATCTTGACTTCAAAAAAGCCTTCGATCTGGTATCCCATGATCACCTCTTGGAGAAACTGGCCAATTGTGGCCTTGGGTCCACCACGATCTGCTGGCTGGGAAATTGGCTCCATGGTCAGACCCAGAGGGTAGCAATTGATGGAAGTCACTCATCATGGTGTCCTGTGACCAGTGGGATCCCCCAAAGCTCTGTCCTTGGACC